GCTCCGAAGACATCGATGGTCAAACACTGAAAGTCTTTTGACGTCCTCGGCGCGCAGCGGCCAGGTTTCTGATCCATATAGTAATATGGAGCGCACCGCAGCAATGTAAACTCGACCCTTGACAGAGAAGCTGGTCACTGCCATCTTCCTGGATGGTGACCCCGAGACGGGCCACATCAATGGCTGGAGACATTATCAGATATGGCCCAGTAGCGCCCTCAATGGCGTTCGTGCATCCAAGCTATTGCCTTCAATGCATAGCTCCTTTTCCAACACCCCACTTAACTGCCCACTGTACCTATCCCCCCTAAAACAACATCGGTGAACGAAATTGCGGCAGCTACAACCACAGTACGACGAGTACGCGGTTATTACAGCTGATGATGATGACATACTGATTTGGATTTCAGTAACCTTATGAGTAGTGTGTTGTGTCCAAGGTTGCTTGTGGAAGAAAATACGGTATAACCAAGATATCCTCAGCGAAATACACTCACTTGTAAACACATTTGGTTTGCGAGAGACTCACGATATCTGGAATAGTGTAGCAACTGAAACATGAGGCGGCCTGGTGCAGCACATTCGGTTGCCTGGACAGAGAGAGATTCAGCTGGGTTCCGGGAAAGTCTCTCGAAAAACCAAAATTACTTTGCACATGAGTGCTAGTCGAGAGCGGGCAGACCAAAATCCTCAATGTCTCGGACACTGGACTCGTTTGCCCGGTTTCTGGAACAGTCAGTGAACGTGGTTTTTGTGCTCAGGCAAGCACGAACAGTCACGACCGCAATCTATGAGGATGAGATCGAAATGACGTTTGACCACAACAGGCGGACAGTCACAGGGAGTGACAGACAAACTTCGAGTGCGTGCTATGCCAAGAGGACAAGTCAGCTTCGCACTAGCGCATCTCACCCTGATCCACTAATTTCCTCATGTGATCTTGCTGAATCAGGTCGGCAGGTTTTTGATTGGTGCAGAACCCCTTTCGGTGCTACAATCTATAAGGATGAGATCGAAATGACGTTTGACCACAACAGGCAGACCGTCACAGAGAGTGGCAGACAAACTTCGAGTGCGTGCTGTGCCAAGAAGACAAGTCGGCTTGGCACTAACACTAAACGCATCTCACCTCAATCCATCCGTGAACTGGACACCCTCTGGTTAATTTTTGATTTGCGTATTTTTTAGGACACTTGCTTGGGCTCAATCCTACAGTCGCGCGAGTCTAACAAGTCACACGGAGTTGAAACTCATCCATTTTTCTGAACGAACTAAGGAGCCAATCAATAAGTGATCACCTGATGTGGTTTCCTTAACTGAAGGATGAATGGCTCTATGTCCTGTCTGGGACTGACTCTTCCATGTTCGCATACTAAAACTGGCAACTGGTATTTTTCGAAGACTGTTCATGCCTGCCAGGAAAACTAGTTGGTTTCAGTCAAAGTACCAGAGGTTGCCCAGTGATTCTACCTTTCACATCATCTACCAGTTCGCAGTGTACAACCAAAGCGGATTTATGGACATCCGTCCTAAAAAAAAATGCCGTACAACGCACAAAACAAGGCAGATCTGATGGTTACTACATAGAATGCTTTGGCCATGATTTTACTTGACGAAATGCTTTGTCTCTTCTGAGAAGCGATGCTAACCAAGACAACCCTATGTTTTCATGAAGGAAACTGCTCACAAGTTTGTGAAAACTCTTCGACAAGGCAACCCTGATTTCGTGGATAAATACATCGGTTCAGGCCATTGGTCCACACTGCAACTGACGTTACTTGACCCAGTGACCTCTGTGAGAAGCGACGTTGTGACTATGTTTTACATTCAATAAAATGTTAACCGATCCAGAAAATGAAACGCATTAGGGCTCACACTCTGGGTGACCTTGTGATGTTTACTAGATTGGCTGGCGATCGATCCTGTTATCCAAACTATTTTTTGACACTCGGTTGTTTCGTTCATTCGTTCGATTCGTGTTCGTGTTCTGTTGTTTGCAGAAGTATATAGAATGCGTCAATTTTAAAGCGTCAGTTTATTGAATTTGTTTTGCGGTGTCATACCCTTAGAAGTTCCTATAAGTTCCTGCTTTCTCCATGGGTCGAAATCTCCACATGTTGAACCGGTGACATACCTGACCTTTGTCTAAGAAAATCAAACGAACAGAATTGTGTCTTCTCATGACTACATTGTGCTCGTGAATCAGTGTAGGTAATTTCCTTCCGTTTTATCCAATGTAGTGCTTGTTTGAATCATTGAACTTTATCACCGTCATCATCATCATCATCGTCATCATCATCATCATCATCATCGAAAAAACTGTTAATTGGCACAACCATATACTGTCCATTCAATGACAAACCCGATCAAAGTCTTCCAAACAACTCAACAAAGTACTGAGAGAACTATGAACACCAAACACAATGGTCAACCAAGGGGAATGGAAACCAAGAGGGTGATACCAAAATCTTAGAGTTCTCTAAGCTATAGAAGATTTACAAAAACCGAAGTGACTCGTCTTGATACCAGACACTGCCACGTACAAATGTGCAAAAGACCCGCCCGGGATTCGAACAAAATGTCAGCAAAATCTCAACAGCTCATCAAAAAGAAGAAAGATAACAAACTCGAGGATGTGAACTTTACAATACAGCAACCTTTTGGAATTGGGGACGGAAAAAGCATCTGTCTTCTTGGAAATGTTGTCCCATGAAAAGCGCAAGAGAACTGATGAAAATCAACTAAACGAATGGTTGATATCGTCAGTGCGCCGACGATGCCACCTCGATCGGTGACGAAACGTCTCCAGTCCAGCTGTCAATAGACCAAAAGCCAAGCCACCCACATTCTGCAACATCATCAACAACTGAGTGCACCTAGCTTGGCTTTACGCTATACAAAATCCACATAATGTAGGCAGAATCTCTGACATTCGGGGAGGAAAAAAACATCGTGTGAAGAAACTCGTATCCTTCGTACGGATCCTTTCATATTTAAAAAACGAGTCCGCATTTTGGAAATTTCGATTAAACCTTACACAAATCAGATTTTCGGTGGTCAAGATTGGCATACATGTTGATTTGAGAACGGACAAATTTGGAAAACCGATGCTTTCCAAATTCTGTCAGTTACTCTATCATTTCTGAACGGAGTCTGGTTTATTAGAATGACAAACGAGAGTTGCCCGAAAGCTGGATACCGTGAGTTCATACCCAGCATGCAAATATTAGTATATGGAGGAATAATAGAGGTCAACTGCATTTTCGATGTACTTCCTTAGGAGAAAAAAGATGGAGCTTACTCTGAAGGAGAATTTACTAACCACTGAAATTTGTTCTGTATGTCTGGCCCATGAGTTATGAACTGTTTGTGGTGCACGCTGGCAGAGAATATCACTATACTGAATTCGTATGTGCAATTGAACTCCAAGTTGACTAGTCGCTTTGTCATGAAAGGTTAGGTCGTATGGCGCAAAACGACGCTAGTTGTCCATATGGATTTGGAATCAACGCGAAAAAAACTAAAAAGAACACTCAGTGGACAAAATTGTGGTGTTAAAATAGTCCTCTCTTCCGAAACCAGGCACCTACAAAAACTAGGTATTCACACATCAATCAAAGACACAAAACGCAATCAAAATATTTTTGTCGAGACGTCACATAGAGATCGATAAATTGAGGGAAATTCACGTTCATCTTCTCGGTCTTATGTGAATCGAACCAAACCGTTGTGAAGTGCAACCAACACTAGCATTCCGTCGATGGATTCTCGACCATATCGGCAGGGAGGAAATCTTCGTGGACCTAGACAATGTGACCGTGACAATGTGCACCTAGGATCGAACAAAACTGCCCACGTGTGGGCGGGCGTCTCAGATGCATCCAATCAAACATCCCTTATTACACTGGCTCTGTGTTGCCAGACAGATGAGAGTGCACAGGGAATCATACACACCTTGCCCAGGACATCCCCAACATTCAATTGGCCACAACACAGAACACACAGAACACGGGAAATGGGCACGAGGGTGCCAAACACCAATTGGAATCAAGATGTGGTCAAGTGCCATATATGGCGAAATGGAAGCCAGATAAATTGGACACGCTGAACGATTCTGGCAATCGGTCAGCACCGACGGCACTGAAGTGCTTGCTTGTTCGTACACAACAGTGAACAGGTTTCGGTGGAATAATGGCAGACGAGGAAGTTCAGGCCCTTGTTGTGGACAATGGTTCGGGTATGTGCAAGGCCGGTTTCGCTGGTGATGACGCACCACGTGCTGTCTTCCCGTCAATTGTTGGACGACCACGTCACCAAGTAAGTCAATTCGTAGATATACTCACGTAAATCCCATTGATAATAAGCGCTATGTTTACCGGTATTCATCACCACTCTCCCTCTCCCGCTCTCTGTCCGTCCCTCGATTAGGGCGTCATGGTCGGTATGGGACAAAAGGATAGCTACGTTGGTGATGAAGCCCAGTCCAAACGAGGTATCCTCACCCTCAAATACCCAATCGAACACGGCATCGTGACCAACTGGGATGATATGGAGAAGATCTGGCATCACACTTTCTACAATGAGTTGCGAGTCGCGCCCGAAGAACACCCCGTTCTGCTCACCGAAGCCCCGTTGAATCCGAAGGCCAATCGAGAGAAGATGACACAGATCATGTTCGAAACATTCAACTCACCAGCCATGTATGTGGGCATCCAGGCTGTGCTGTCCCTGTACGCGTCGGGTCGTACGACCGGTATCGTGCTGGACTCTGGTGACGGTGTCACACACGCAGTCCCAATCTATGAGGGTTACGCGCTTCCTCACGCCATCCTCCGTCTGGATCTGGCTGGTCGTGATCTGACTGACTACCTGATGAAAATCCTGACCGAGCGTGGTTACAGTTTCACGACAACGGCCGAGCGAGAAATCGTGCGTGATATCAAGGAGAAGTTGTGCTACGTGGCTCTGGACTTCGAGCAGGAGATGGCGACCGCGGCATCGAGCTCCTCACTGGAGAAGAGCTACGAACTGCCCGATGGTCAGGTGATCACGATTGGTAACGAGCGGTTCCGTTGTCCCGAGGCTCTGTTCCAACCGAGCTTCTTGGGTATGGAATCTGCCGGTATCCATGAGAGCACGTTCAACTCGATCATGAAGTGCGATGTGGATATCCGCAAGGATTTGTACGCGAACACCGTGCTGTCTGGTGGTACGACCATGTTCCCTGGTATTGCGGATCGTATGCAGAAGGAGATCACTGCGTTGGCTCCGAGTACGATGAAGATCAAGATCGTTGCCCCACCGGAGCGTAAATACTCGGTTTGGATTGGTGGTTCGATCTTGGCTTCGTTGTCCACGTTCCAACAGATGTGGATCTCGAAACAGGAATACGACGAGTCTGGTCCAGGTATCGTGCACCGCAAATGCTTCTAAAACAGATCACACGGCTAGGCGCCCCTCGAGGAGGGTTTACCTGAAGTTATTTTTGTCCCTTATTTATGAAGCATTTCAATAAATTCCAATTCTATGCTTGGTTGCCTTCTGTTTTAGGGCGGAGCCTATCTGGTGATATTTGATAATACTGACATAACCAATAATTTTAGGCGTTCGGTGGCGTTGTATCTGAGACGTGCACCTATTACCAGTGGTGATGATGTTTCTTCCATCATCAAAGCTGTTAACAGTCTATAAGTTTCGAGATGTTGGTCCGCGTGAGGTTTCTCATATCTACTGTTGCTGCGTTCCGCGGTCGTGGCAAACTGAATGCGAGAAGAAACTGTTACAATCAGTGTTTGTCGGCTAATTTTTCTGTCATCAGTTGGCACCTACAAATATGTGGTTTATGCGGAATCGATCGACAATGTTGGGTTGTTAGGACACCAGGGTGACTGTCTTCCATCAACACATCGGGAGGATCCTGAGCACAGTCTCCTCGTAACCGAAGGGAATGTTCAGTAATGTGCATAGATGGGTGTAGGTTTTCCCCTCTCGCGTAAGCCTCGCTGTCAGATTCTGTGAACAGAGCAGCATAAACAGCTAAATGTATACAATTTAGCAAATCGTGAAACACCGGTTAAAACAATCCAGCATATTAGTCCTCTTGTCACGAGATTCGTTTCTGGGGTAGATTTTATGGACCATATGGTGGGGAAATTAAACAGTCATCGTTCAACAACAGGCAGAATGGGTTACTCATTCTGTTGCTCAAAAATACTTGACATCTGGTTGTCGGTTTGACTGCCATTTGGATTCAATAATTAGGCACAATATTCTTGTATGTGAAGGTTTTGTCTTGTCGGTGAAACCATTCTATGTTGAAAAGCCGAGAAGCGCTGTACAGCCTTTTCATCCTTATTGGGAATCATCAGCAGTGCACATCTCCGACCAGTCGTGTCCGAAC